CAGAAAATAATCGAGCTGAGCCATGTGTTCTACGGGTGAATAGTGCGGAATTACCTGCACATGTTGGCGCTCGTGTTTAATGGGGCCAATGTGACCCCATTGACCTTGACTTGTCCTTTCTCGAGTAGAAGTGTATCTGTCTGTGTGGCTTTTAGCAAATCAAAATGTCTTCCAGTCCTCATCAAGCTGTTCGCTTCTTATTGGCCAGTCATTTCCTTAAGAGTTGCAGCAGTGAAGTCTCTGGAGGAGATTGTTCAAAGGTCGGGCATTAGGGGATTGAGCTTTCTTTGCTCTTGACTGGTGAAGCCATTCAGACGAAGGATTGGCTGCCTTTCCTAAAAAGGGATGGCATTGATCACGAATTCCATTATGCCCAGGGCTTGATCTCCAAGAGGCCAGACAATCCTTTCTGCCATTTCTCTTCTGAAAAGACCTTTTTAAAATGGAGCTTTTCTAATGCAAGAGACAGGAAAGTCTGTATAATGGCCTATCCATTACACGCACATGCATTGGCCCGTGCATATAAAACCACATACTTAAGAGCCAGATGTAGACTTGAAGCGTTTAGCCGATAAATAAATTAGTCAATCGACAGAAAATAAACGTACTCAATGAGGAATGAGATGTTTCTTTGTTTTAGGTGATAAAGAAAATTGGATTTAGGTATGTTTGTCTAACAAGTTAACAATAAAAAATAAAAATAAAAATAATAAATTTTTGAGAAAGACAGTTTGAGGACAAAACTATTAATAGAGAAAATAAATTGCTGATAAGTTTATATTACAATTAGCGTTATTTATTAACTATTATAAGTGACACCATTAGATTTAGATTGACTTGAAAATGTCAGCAGCTGAGGTAAAATGACACCTGATGCAATGTTTTAAAAAACTTAAAACAAGACTATTTGTTTGCGTAATGCACAAAAAAAAAACGTTTTGTTTCAGGACAAAACTGTTTCAGGTATAGTAAAAGAGCTCCAATTCAAAAGTGCAAGGTGTACCAGTAAACCAGCAGGGTGTTATTCCCTGTTCAAAAGTCTACTGTCACTCCTATGAACTTCTGAAGTTGGAATAAAAGTCTCTTTGGAGGATGGATCTGGAAAAAACTTTAGATGTAGTTTTAATAATGCTGTCAGACTTATAGGGACTGTAAAGCTGATTGTCTGGCTATCATTTCAGCTGAAGGATCGTAAACTTCTCTCATAAAAGCTTTTCCAAACCTTCTGATGAATGCTGTTAAAATGCTCCATTTTGAGGCTGAAAACATGGCTGTTTTTCTCGAGTCCCTTGTAGGTTGATTCTCAGACATTCTCAAGGTTATTAGCTCGTATGCCTGCAGGTCATCTCCATCAAGGTTCAGTAAACACTGCGTAATGATTTGTCCACTGAACTCACCGACCACCTCAGCAGCAGAAGAAGAACAGAAACAAACAGATTCCTTTTATTTATATTAAATACAATTGGTTTCATTTGCAGTTTCTTGCAGAGAACAGAGAATGGACGACACTCCAATACTGTCCTTTTAAATATGAAGCTTGAGCATACAGACAGTTAGCTTAGTTTAGCATAAAGCAGTTGGAAACAGCTAGCTTAAATCTGTCAAAAGGTAAAAAACACAACAACCAACATCGAGAGTTACACTGTATTGGATTTGATCATGATAAAAAATTATCACAATAAATTAAAATTGGTCAATTTCCATTATCAGGATTATCGGGAATATTCTGAATAGTTAATTTCAATAATCTGTAGCTGTCTATCATTGTTGAGAATTAAAAAATGTGTGTTTTAAAAAAAAAAATAGAAATAATACCACTTAAGAAATAACAGAGCCACACAAACAGGGGACCTTATAATTTACGATTACATTATTTACATTTTTCATGATGTTCATAAACAACAGATGTGTGTCCAATCTGTGATGCGAAAAAAGTAAAGTTTCTTAACAAAATGTAAGAATTATTCTGAAACATACCTGGAAGTGTGAACCTCGCTGAACCTCGCTCTTGTCGGTTGAGAAATTGCTTCATTAACACGGCAGGGGGGGGCTTTAAATCTGGGAAATATCAAAGGGTAGCATATTTTGTTTTAAAGGTCCAAGCTGTGCGAGATGTATTGATTGCTTTGTTATGGGCTATGTGAATTTCTTTTAAGTTTCCATCCTTTTTCTTGGAAGATGTGTTTTTTTCCCCCGTACAGACAGCTGTTGTTTGCAAATACCTGCAAATATCCTCTACATTATTTATGGGTACTTGCACGAGGCGACTCAGGGGAAATTGTTTCTCGCTCGGATCTTAAAGTAGTCTTGTCGCCCTGACCCAGTCTCTGCTATATCCGCCCGACAGCAGATGAGGGAGCCCCAGAATAGAAAACACAGGTCATATCAGTTTATCTGGGATTGGGCTTCTCAAGTATGATATATAAACACCTCCCAACTTGAGGGAATTGCCTCGGGGGTCACAGGAAGATGTTGTTGAAGTGACTCAGAAATATATATATCTCATGCTGCTTCAAATGTTTTAGTCAGCATCCCTCCATCCCCGCCTCCGACTGACTTCTTTCTCAACTCTGATGTTCATTACTCAAACAGCTCCTTGGATCAAATATTCCTGTTTGGATTTTTTCAATCAGGAGGAGCCAAGTGAGATAACATGCTGAGGGAGTGGAAGGTGCTGCAGACTTGTTTATATGTCTTGATCTGACAGGATGAATAATTCAGCAAAGTGTTCCCTGGCAGCCCGGGATTATATTAAACAATAGTTAGGGCAGTGGGGGAGATACATTTGGGGTGATGGAAACGATGGGAGGCCTTGATTGCGGAAAACACTGTGAATTATTCAACCTGTTTCCCCTCAAAAATCACAGTCTCTGGCCATGAATGCAAATATAGTTGTGATGATTAGAGGAGACTGCTCTGCTGCACCCTGGGACAGGAGATGGATGGCTTTCCTTTTTGGAGGAATCTTGATTTGCTTTCCGTTACTCTGAAGTGTTCTTTCAGAATTATTTGGGCTTTGCTTTCCCTGGAAATGTGAGTGCTAAGCATATTGCAGCATTGCAACACAGACGTGATGTTTGCTTTGCAGTTTTCACATTTTGATTTTCGAAAAGTCTGTCTTGATCTATGACCTTCTGTTTTCTTTATTCATATGTTCTGTTTGTAAAACCGATTTGCAGGTCAAAAGACAAGATGTAAAGTGCCAAATGTAGGTGCATGTTCAATTTGTAAAGGTCTTGGTTACATAAAACCACTTCAACAGCACTGTCTATATTTTAGTGTGAGGTAGCTCCAAATCAAACTTAGAAAAGAGTCATTTAAATGCTATTGGAAGAAAAGTTAAATGTATAAAAAATGGTGGTTATATCCAGAGGTGGAAAGTAACTAAGTACATGTACTCAATTACTGTACTTAAGTACACTTTTTATGTTCTTGTACTTTACTTGAGTACTTCCATGTTTTGCTACTTTGTACTTCTCCCCCACTGCAATTATTCAATACCTTTAGTTACTTCAAATATTTGGATTAATGATGTGAAATATAATTCACCAACTACCCTGCAGTATACAAAGTCATATAATATTCTGAAATAGACCAATTTGTATATTAAGTACTTTTACTTTTGGTACTTATAGTATATTTTGATGCTCATACCTTTTGTAGTTTTACTTGAGTAACATTTTTGAATGCAGGACTTTTACTAGTATTTCTACACACTTCTACTTTTACTCAAGTACAATATCTGAGTACTTCTTCCACCTCTGGTTACATCCAAATATGTTCTCCTTCCTGCTAATCACCAATCACTGCTTAGAGGGGGGTCTTCGCTTCAAAATATAGAAATGCTCAAACAAAACATTGACTATGTTTCAATTAGTTCCGTTTGAGACACACCCAAATAGCAGCTGTTCCATCATTACAGTCCAGTGGTTAAACAGTAATAGAAAAATCTGTTGTTATCATTATCGGAGGCTCCAAATAAAGCTGACCTGTGGGAGGAAGAGGGGGCGGGACACTGACTGGGGAATACTGGAATTCTGGGGCTGGTCACTGTGGGGAGAGGACATGTTGGGAGGAATCTGCAGCTGGAGTGTTTGGTCTGACATGCTGGCCTCACACAGACAAATTGACTGAGTTCCTCCATGTTGTAATTAGTGTTTGCTGGGAAACGGCGGATCCCCCTGCGCCGTGTCATTAGGATTAGCACTCGGGGGGCTGTTGCTTCCCGTTTTCCTGTAGCAAAGAAAAACTCAATATCCCATCCGTCACAAGTCTCTCCCTGCAGCTAAACAAAGGCTGGCTGCAGTAACACCACCTAAATGGATCCATCATCGTCAGCCAGCATCATCTGCTGGGCCTTGTTTGCAGAGGGGTGGGGGGGGGACACAGAACACAGAACACACCTGCGACCACATGGAAATAAACATTGCAACAACATCACATTTTCAATTCACAGTAGAAACAAATGTGGATCGCCGCCCAATTAGAGATCGAACTAGGAACAACAAAATGGACGTAAAGCCAAGAGGAGAGTGAAATCAAACATTTTATTTCAAAGATGTTGAGCGATGCTGCTATTGCAATCATTTTGATGTTATGAATAATTCTTTATGTAATTAATCAGCTTCCAATTCATTGAAATGTTGTGTTTATGTTTATAACCGCAAAAAAATAAACAGTTTCCTGTTAACCTGCAATTTCTTCCCTGCTTTACATCACACATGTATCCCCTCTTCTGATGCTCTAAATGTTGTTTCATCCAGCTTACTTGCTCTGTTTAGAACTTCAAACTAAAAGTGCTGATTTATATGTTTCCCCCTGCTTCAGTAGACTTTTTTTCACAGCCTGCATTCCCCTGTTCTTTCACAGCGTTGATGATTAATTTGACATCAGCAAAATAATAAGTGGGAGGCTGAAATGTGCTGCAGATAAAGAGATGTTAATATTCACCAAAAGCGTGTGCATAAATGCTTCCTGTCTGTGCTCTCTTTGCCCTGCAGGTGTGCTGAGCCTGCCCGAGAGTTTGAACCTGCACCGCGACCAGCAGCGCTCGGGCCGGGGGAGCGAAGGTCAGGGCTACTCACAGGCCGAGCTGCGCACGCTGGAACAGTCGCTGCTCGCAACCCGGGTGGGCAGCATCGCAGAGCTGAGTGAGTACAGAACCATCAGTGTACCCAACACAGTGCCATTTAGAGACATGACTAAACTCACATCCACCTCTATTCCAAAATATTGAAGATAGCTGCAATAAAATGTGCTGAACTTTTTCTATCTAGAGCAAGTTAATAGAACATGGACATCACCTAATTATGAAACGTTGGTCACATGATAACAGGAAGTCATTTATATGGCCGGAAGTCACTCACATTATCTTCAGCATCAGATGTGAATGGCCCTTACATTTGTTTTTAAGTGCTTTGCTAAGTAAATGAACTAAGTTGCATTCTACCACTGCATACTTTCCTCAAGGTGTACAGTTCAATATGCTACTCTGATTCTTACTTCTCATTATACATATTTACCTTATGGAAGCACAAAAAACGGACTTTTCAAAAATCTATTTTCGTGTACAGTGCTGTGTTTCTTTAACAGCATTTGTACATGTACATGTTACCAAAAAAGAATGAAAATGCCCGGATGACACTGCAATTATCTGAGGTAATGTTGCCAACATAATCCCAATAATGGTTGCTGAATAAAGAGTGCTATACTAGGTAAGATATTTAAATGTTGATTCCGATGATCTTAGATGCAGTAACCCTTCTCAGGAACATTTGTATGGAAAATCGTGATTGCATAAGACTAGAAGTGTAGCAAAACCCTCCCCAGAGAGATGATGGATGACATTTAATTGCTCCCTCTGGCATTTGAGGTATGCAAACCCAATTGGAAGTCACAACTAATAAGATTCATCTAATGTGTAGGAGATCACAGACATTTAATTCTCTCTATAAAACAGGCTAAGACTGATGTTTTTATTTGATGATCAAACGCCATCCTTTAGTGGAGCCTTAAACCTGAGATAAAACCCGCCTCTCTCAGAGCTGCCAACACATATTATACAGATTTAAAGTGACCAATAATGATCTCTTTGAATACTACATTTAAAATTGTAAACCTTGTTCTACCCTGCGGAAGTATCCTAAAACGGCATTAAATAGTGAAATTCAAAGACATTAAATATTGAACTCTTATATATGAGCTCTTTAAGGCCACAGTGATCCATGTTGAGTTCAGCGTTGTAATTGTTATAAACAATACATCTGATCAACTAAAGAAACAATTTATTTGCCAAATAGTCCCATCAGAGTGAAGGAATGCACCCTCCCTGTTGTCATGGTGGTCTGACCCACCCTCCGCATCTCTGCTGTCCCCTCATCCATCTCCCCCTCCCTCCCCTCTGACTCTTACAGCTGTGCTGACACCTGTTTTTGAGTCACCTTTAAAACCAAGGTCGCCGCCTCAAAGGCTTTTAACCTCCGCTTGAAAGGGGGGACTCCACCTTTAACTCCCACTATCTGCTCCCCCACCCTCTCCACAGTCACATATTAGCTCATGCTGTCCCCCCTAGACATCTGCACTGTAACACCGTGTCCATGCACATCTTTCTTGTTTGTTCTGGGCCAATAGTGCATTACAAACCAGCGATTCACTTTGCATCATCGATTTAAAGCAGGGATTTAGTTCACTGATTGAGCCTGTAAGCAGTTTGTAAAGCGTTGTGAAGCAGTTATATTTATGATGCTCTTGGATTCAATATAATCAGTTAGCTTTCCTACTGTCAGTCCCTAAAGCCACGTCTGAATTTGGAAACTAAATTAAATATGCTGCTCCGTTTGCTTGGAATCAGTGGCGAAAGTGCCTGAATCTTTACGGATACATTAATGTATCTGTCATTTGACAGATCTGTTATTTCATTTTCTTCCAAATGTGTATGTGTTTGTTTTTAGTATATGCAACACCTTAACAGTGATGATGTCAGGATTCTCTTGTTATGTTACGTTTGTAGTTTTGTATGTCTGGTTATGGGTATTTTCCTCCTTGTTTCTTGTCTGGTCCTTCTTCCTGTGTGTTTCCCCTGTCGTTAGTTTCCCTGGTGTGTCTAATTGTCTGATTGTGTTCACCTTGTGTTTCTCCTCCCCTGCCCGGCTGTTTCTCGTCTTGTGATTACCCCTCCCTGTATTTAGTCTTGTCTCTTCCTGTGTTCAGTGTTGGTTCGTCTTTTGTTTGTGAATGAGTTCACCGGTGAGAGTTCTGTTTTGTCCAAGTTATTTTTATTTTATCCTTGAAATAAAGGCTTTTTTAAGCGTTATCTGCATTTGGGTCCTGCTTGCTTCACTCACCGTAACAGATGATGCCTGTCAGGTCCAGGAGGCTCTTGAAAAACGAATTATTATTCTCTACGATCACCATGGTTAAATACAGGTTTTTACATACAAATAACATGAGAAGTAATAGCAAGTTAGAAAGAATACCTAAGAACAATTTAGTAAACAAGTTGAATTTTCTAGAGAAAAAGTTGAAGTGGATATCCTTTTTTTTAAATTGAATTTAGACAAATATATATATATATATATATATATATATAACAGACACTACAGTATAACGATGTTGATAAAAGAACCTAACGACTAAAATCAATATCCTTTTTAAAAATGCAATCACCTGAACCAGTGTTTCCCCTACCATTGTCTTAGAGGGGCGCTGCGCCCCGCCAACGGAGCCCCCCTGAAATTGAAGGTGTTTCTTTTGTATATATATATATATATAGCACCCCCCGCCCTGCCTATTTACACATATAACGCATCCATTAACATGTAGAGTTGTATTTATTTTCATCCACTGAATGGAAGTCCAATATGAAATATCTTTAAAGCTCTGGTTTGGTCTCTTCCCTGGAGGTTATATCTGGCTCTGAAGCAGAACTGTCTGTGTACCATGTAGCAGTAAAGTACATCTGTCCATCAGGTACACAGCACAGGTTGCTGTTTGATTCCTGTTTGATGCACCGTGTGTTGGACTCCCTCACCTCCACACTGCCAGACGTCGACATGTGGCTTGTAACACGTTTTATGCCAGCTGCTGGAAGTCATTTGGGTGTTTTTTTTGTGGATTCTATGGCATAATATCCTCCTCTTGTGGCGTTATGTGGACAGATTGATCTACAGAGTACGAGTCTCTAAGGATGACGAGTGTGAATCTGCTTCACCAAGTACATGAAGATTGCATTAAAGGTGCAACTTTTAGCATGTTCTACCATCTGCCTGTGCTAGAAACGTATAGGAGCAGATTTGCTAGAGCCCTCGCATCTTATTCCAGACACTTTTGTATTATTATTTATCAGAAACAGGTGCAAAAACCTGGAAGAGCAGTTGCCCTTTACCTAAAGTGCAGCAGTGTGGTGGCAACCTCTCTCTTCACCTCTTTAAAGGATTGGTGTATTTAAAGTCTTAACTACAGCAACAAATGTGTATAATTCCACAACATAAAATAGTCCCCATGAAGGTTCTAATTACTCCTATTTGACTCATGATTGCTTAAAAAAATCGGTTTTTTGATAAGTCTGCATACGAGCTACCAAATGAGAGGGAATACCTGGAGTCTCTTAAAGCTGTAACTGATAGTTTAATTAAAAAACCATCTGTATTTTAGAGCTAGGCGGTAAGAGGAAGTTGTTAAGAGTGATTTTAGTGAGAGACACTGTGTTTGGCTGCCAATGCACACTGGACATTTCCTCCTGCTGCAGCTCCACTTCAAATCAATGTGACATTACGTTGGCACTGATTCTGAGGGCCAGTTGGAGGAAGGTGGTGCACTGAAATATTCATCTAAACAACTCTGGCCAGAACACTTTTGTGTGTTTTATAAATTGAATTAAACACACTAGGATTCCTGTTTTCATATGTTTATAGAAACCAGGTTACTGCCAAATGATGAGAATTTGCATATTTCCTCAGTGTATGTAGGTTTGTAGAGGCTGTCTCAGCAGATGCCTGGTTTATGTACATAATTCAGCTAACGTCCATAATAACAAACATCATGCTAATGATAGGTTAATGTGCAAATGCTACAAACGCTGTAATATTACAGCAGAGCCCCGAACAAACGGATGATGGCGAGCAGGTGTTTCATGGTCAGATGCGCCTTCTTAAAAAGATGCTTGGTTTCTACAAATTACATTGTTTAGATTTAAATCAATTTTAAGCCGTTAGCTCTATATCTGAACAATAAACAAGATCACTTTAAAGTTAAGCAGCCACTCAGAGCCGGTTGTCGGGGCAATTTCACACCCGAGTTGCTCGATAATTAATCAATAATTTTATTCTCTAGTGGTGGAAAGAAGTCATTTTTTTCTGAGGTCACCATTACCTCCCTAATCATATTTCATTTATTGGTCTGGGCTATAAAAGCAGATTGCTGATGGCGGAGTTGAGCTCTGTTTTCTTGCACTACTCCACTTTGCCATGAAGGATATCTATTTCCTGTGTGTGTCCACTGTGTGTGTGTGTGTGTGTGTGTGTGTGTGTGTGTGTGTGTGTGTGTGTGTGTGTGTGTGTGTGTGTGTGTGTGTGTGTGTGTGTGTGTGTGTGTGTGTGTGTGTGTGTGTGTGTGTGTGTGTGTGTGTGTGTGTGTGTGTGTGTGTGTGTGTGTGTGTGTGTGTGTGTGTGTGTGTGTGTGTGTGTGTGTGTGTGTGTGGTGTGTGGTGTGTGTGTGTGGCGCGCGGAGGGAGGCCATTCATCAGCGGCCGCCCTGAGGGTCACAGAGTAGCCTATAGTCAAATAAACGGCGTAATACAGTGCAGGCCTCTAACAACGGGGCCCTCCATTCCTGAAGCTAGGGGCCCCCCCACCACCACATAGGAAATATTCAAAGAATGGACTATGGTAAAGTTCACTATTCTTAAGATTTCAGTTAAGAAACCCCATATTTGATTCTATATATGGCTGGCATTTTTCACGCTATCAAGTACAGTAGCTATTATTATTATTGTCCTGCACAATTAACGGAATTGCAATATCAAAATGTCAGTAGGCGCAATGTTTAGTAAAGGCAAATTATGTTAAAAAAACATTCTGAATTATTTATTTTTGTCAGTAGATCCTGGCCTTCAAATGGTACTATACAGACTTAATAACAAAAACAAACTTAT